CCAGACTCTATCACTGCTGCGAAGCTGGCTACCTGCCAAGTCAGCAAGTACAGGCATGTGCCCCGCATGGCAATCTTCCCAAGTTCACGTGTTCCCGGTAACAAAGGCACGAAAGCGTGTGTTTTGTGGTATTATGTCCTGTAGGGTGAGCATGCAGTTTTTATAACCAACATGGTTTGATTCTTTTTCAATGAAGTGCCATAAAACATAATGCAATGGAACGCACTCTGCAAAATAGACGCTCATAGAGACCAAGAGCTTGACAAGTCCAGTCTTCCGTACTGAAATAATCCACAGAGTCAAAATGACAGGAACTAAGTGGGTAAGGAAAAAAAATCCAACAGGGACAAACACCTGAAGTTTAAAATCTACTCAGTGTCAATAAGTGTGCAAGGTGGACAACATGGAAAAAACAGGCCAGATATCAACGGAGCATTACATCTCTATTCATAGTCACTCACCAAGCTATGAGCACAACTCTGAGAACAAAAAAAAAATGGTTCCCTGCCAAGAGGGCTAAGGAGAGCCACGTGCCCTCATGTAAATGCCGCACCGGATGGCGGGTGAGCCAACTGCCAAGCCAGGGGAGCCCGGCGGGCGAGGCCAGAGAACAATGCACGTAACCTGCTTACAGGGCGAGTGCAGATTCAGTTGACTTCAGCTACCCTGTGGGTTGATTTGGTTTCCAAGGTTAGCTAGAACCCCAACAACCATCTCGAGCTTTGTTTTATGAAAAGACACTCAAATTGGCATTCTGACCCGTGTTTTTATATGAGATCAGGAGATCACAACTGAAAACACAGGTGAGATACCTGTCCACCTCAACTGGAGCGGATTCTCCCACCACTCACCGGTGACATCCCTGGAATAATCTCAAATTGCTGAAATGCCACCACTTTGAAACACCAAAAGCCTGTTCTCCTAAATGTGCTGAAGAGCAACATGTCATTCTAAAAAAAAAATGATGAAGGTTCTTAGACACTCTACTCCTTTTAAGATAAAGTTCAAATCTAGGATTCAGGTCTCCAGCCTGACCCAACCCAGCTCAGCCCAGAGCCCTGCTCCCCTAGCAGTTTTCACAGGGGCGTCCGCAGAGCATCTCACCGTGGTCCTTTATAAGTGAGAGGCAGTTCCAGGCTGTGTTTGCAAGCAAGGCTCCGGAGTCCGGCCACTGAGCACCCCGGGGGGCTCAGGCAAGTCACTGCCTCTCTCCGTGAGTGGGTCCTCCGTCTGGGAGGTGTGAGGATTAAAGAAATGAGCACACAGGAAGTGCCTGGAACAGCACCTGGCTGTCACCGTGTCTGTGGTTTCTGATTATCCGAATGGCCGTGGTCATTACTATCGTCATCACTGAAAGCATGAGGCCACGGAGACCAGACAGGAAGCTGCCTCTCCCCAAGGCACCCATGTCCCGGCCCTCACACATCGTTCAGATCGCACAGAAGCACTGCGCAGCCTCCCCACGTCCTGGTCCCAGCACAATCCGCCCTGAGCCACAGGCCATGCAGCCTCCTAACCCAGCCAGTGCGCCCATCCGGCCTGAAGGAGTCCCTTAGCCAAATAACCACGCACAGAACCAGAGACTAGCTGATCCTCTGTTTTCTCTGAAAACAAAAATGGAATTTCCTCAGGATTGCTAATTAGACCCTACAGGCACCTAAACACCCTCCTGCTTCACAGGAGGATCCCTTCCTCAGTAGGAATTACTCTGGGCCCTGCCTCGACTCAGAATCGCAGGGCACAGAAGCGCGGACTGATACTCCCCCCAACACGGCCACAGCTGGACATCTACCAGAACGTCTGCCTAAGCCAGACTGCCAGTGGCACTGTGGCTGGGAAATCCCTCTTTCCTCTTCACCTTTTCTAGGAGGACAGAGAGAGCAGGTCAGCAGCTGCAGCCAAGCGGGGAGAAGGCAGCCACACAAAAGCCCTTTCACCAGCACATTTCTCAGCTCCCTCCCGGGGCCTCCCACTGCATCTACGGGCTCCTGCTGCCAGGAGCTCCGGGCCCAGCTCCATCCAGGTGGCTGGTCTCCCCACCAGTGAACCACACTTCCAGCGGCCACTCTTCCAGACGTTATGGTCATGCCACGTGACCCATGGACACCCTCCTCGTTCTACTGTCCTGAGAGAACCAGCCCTGGGGAAAAGCAGAGGTCCCTGTGCTACACTGAATATCCCGCTGTCCGTTGAGGAAGATTGTTTTAAAATGTGGAATAAATAATTAAAATAGCTCAAGCATTCTGCCAGACAGACAGAAGCCCCAGCAGCATTCCCCCGCTCCTGGAAGGCCCTTCTCTCTGTTCCCCACGACACAGACTCATTCGTTCTGCATGTCCCGCTGATGAAGGAAGGCCAGGGGCCAGACTCCCGATGGGTAAGGCAGGAATGGAGCAGGGACACTCCCCCGCAATGAGAATGTGGCCAAAGTCTCTTAAGAAAAGGGGAGTCCTAATCCCCCCTCCCAGATCTCACCGCCGGTGATTTATCTTGTTGCCATAGTTGCATTTCCATATTCATTCACTCCAAGTCTTTTCATCGAAACGTCCGTTTCAATCCTGAAACCCCGAGTGGGATTCTAAAAGTCACACGGCGCTCAGAAAGTTGAGAATCTGCCCTTATCTTAGTGAGAAACATGGTCTCCCCAAATAAGTTGTCAGAGAGGGAAACACTCGTATGGGGCTGCGTTATAAAAACTGCCAAACCCTGAATCGAAGAACTTGAGACAGAAGGGGGAACCCACGCAGGCATTCCGTTATAATGCCCACATCAGGGGACAGACGTGCTCACATTTCCGTTAACCATTTGAGGAGAGTCTGTGACCAGCCATTTTTCTGGACATATCCTTCATTTTTCAAAATTGGCAAAAAGCTGAACTTTTTATTGGTGCTCGAGTAGCAATGAACATGGAAGGGTACCCGTTAGCCCGGAACACTAAACTGAATTGAATTCCACAAATCTAGGGACAGATGCTCAAGATTCCACTCAACTTGGAAGCTTACAACAAAGGGAACTGGGAACACATCTGAAGTGAGAATGAAGTGAATGCTGAGAGGTAGAAAGTGAGGCAAATCAAACGTAAATGTGAAATTACACTCCTTTTAAAGATACTTGCTCTGCTAACACCTATTAAACCTGCTTTGTAACCCTCGCTGTAGGTCAAGCATGTCAAACTCGCAGCCCACAACAAACATTTTTGTGTCCCAGCCAATATAACGGTATATAAGAAATGTTTTAGTTACAATTTTGTAATTTAATTTTTACAATGTCCTGTTATACATAATTATTAATAATGAACTACAACGTTCCCTAATGACTGATTACTATAATCATGTTGCATTCATTTCCCTTACACACCTTACAGGCAGGCACACCATTTCTCCCCACTAATACCAGCAGCGAATATTTTAGCAGCCGATGGCCACGTCATTAGTCTTGGACCGACTTGCTTGGCGTGCGCAACAGGAAATATTTTACTTTCGGAGAACAAGAAAAATAGGTTTATTAACGTGTCGCCTATTTGCGCAGTTATTCAGTGTCTGGTAAGTTAATGTTTAAGAAAACATTAATTTTTATTAAAATGTTCTATTATTTTATGTTAACGATGACTCATTTATTTCAGCCCTTGTACTCAGCATCTCTCTGTCGAAATAAACCTACGTTTCTATGAAAATGGAAGCTTTTGTTCTTTTGCAGCCCACATAAACTTAAATCTTGTTTCTTTGGCCCGGGTTAGCCTTTGAGTTTGACATTCTTGCTGTAGATGTTGGGACAAAAAGCAGGGGAAGAGGGGGATCTCACTGACAGCACTGGAGATTGGCTCTTAACAAGACTGACTTTCTGAGTAATTGTTCACATCACTCCCTACCCTTCCAAATCTCAAATGGAAGAGCAATCGTGTGGGCAGGGTTTGTGAGAACAATTCCCACCGCCCACCTAGAGGCCTGCCAGGCAGAGCATGTGATACAGAGATTAGCAGATGAGTCAGCTGTCACTCCCACAGGGCAATTACTGTGAACTTTCAGCAAAACCCATTATCAAGTACCTACAAAACCTAAACCTGACAGGACTGCACATATTTTAGGTAGTCCACAGAATTTTATCTTTAAAAATAAAAAACAAAACTACTTTTCAAGGGACGTTTCAAATGTAAGCTCCTTTAAAAAAAAAAAAAAAAGATCTTAAAAAAACAGTAGGAACTAAATTCAGATTTCTGGATATGTTGTCTGTTCTATGAAAAGTATATAAATGATACACATACCTGACAATATTGAAATGGGCAGAACATCCCGAATGCTCGGTTACGTTACTCAAAGTCAAGGGCAAGAAGTAACCAGTTACGTGGGCAGGTTCTTGGTATTCGAGGCAAAGGACTCCTGTGTGGGCCCATGTGAGTTAGCCCCGTGGTCGGCAAACTGTGGCTCGAGAGCCACAGGCGGCTCTTTGGCCCCTTGAGTGTGGCTCTCCCACAAAATACCACGGCCTTGGCGAGTCTACTTTGAAGAAGTGGCATTAGAAGAATTTTTAAGTTTAGAAAATGTGGGCTCTCAAAAGAAATGTCAATCGTTGTACTGTTGATGTTTGGCTCTGTGGACTAATGAGTTTGCCGACCACTGAGTGAGCCCAACAGGAAAGGCATGACTAGGAGAGACAGTCAGAGCCTGGACACTGAGGTTCTAGGCAGGCGCTAATACACCCAACCTGAGCCAGCTCAACCCAGACCAAGTGCCAGTGCTGAGTCCTACGGGGATCCCCACTGGTGTCCCTGAACTGCCCGGCCTTCCTTCATCTGACAGGCACCACTCTACACCTCCAACCAGTCCTAGAAATCAATCAGGCAACCCCCAAACAAAAATTAGCATATCCAATTTTAGTACTTCTACTGCACAAAACCCACTGACCTTCCCTGAAGGAATTCTACATCATGATCCCCTTTGACTTATCAGGATTCTCCAAAATAACATGCGCTGGTAATTCTACCGCCAAAAATACCCCTTGCAATGTATACCAGGCCAAGGCATAATTATTACATCACTTGTATTTCATTTCAAAACGCATCTAAATGTTAAGTCTACTGTAGATGACGTATTTTGCTCTGGAAAGCAAGAATGACAGAACAGGTGACCTAGAAACGGCCAACTTTTCTCTCACCTTTAAGTGTCAATATTTATACAAACGCAGAACAGTTTCCTATATACTCCCAGCCCCCCTGCCCATCACCCCTGCCTCCCAGAAGTCACCCGGGGGACAGGCTGGCCTGCCACGGAGCCTGCAAACCACTGGGGATCTATTTCAGGTCGCGGCAGCGTTGGATGGGTGGGTTGTTCCCTCTTTTTTCTCTCTTGGTAGCAAAAATATCTCCGTCTCTTAAATATATAGGTGAAAAGTACTCATTTCTAAACGAGGCTTTAAAAAAGCAACGAAAATACTCTTTTCACTGCAAAGGAAAAAAAAAAGCAAGGCGGTGTTCATATAATTTAAGTCATCAAAGAAATGTAAATTAAGGTTTTGGTTCTATTTTCTGTTCGAACTTTAACTTACAGCAGCTCCTTTTAGGTTTTTAAGACCCACTTTGGAAAAGGGAAGAAAGTAGGGGTAACTATCCTGAGGAGATTCAAAACACTTCAGAGTTTCAGTTTCTAACTTGGGGGTATTTTTTTCTGTTGACATTGCACCTGAAAATTCTTTTTTTTATTTTTTTACTTTCTACAGAGAGGAAGAGAGAGAGATAGAGAGTTAGAAACATCGATGAGAGAGAATCATCGATCAGCTGCCTCCTGCACACCTCCTACTGGGGATGTGCCTGCAATCAAGGTACATGCCCTTGACCAGAATCGAACCCAGGACCCTTCAGTCCGAAGGCTGACGCTCTATCCATTGAGCCAAACTGGTTTCGGCTACACCTGAAAATTCTAATTCATGTTGGAGAATATGACAACAAGGAAAAAAATTTATTCTCTTCTGATGAAGGACTACTAATTGCTGTTGATGATGCTATTTTCTCTTGAATTTAACTATTTTGGGTATTTTAGATGGGTGATAAATAATGTGTGATACATGCTGGTAGTATTTAATTCATGAGAAAAAGAATCCCTTGAATAAACCAGAGCACATTATTTATTATAGCATCTAAAATAACTTACTTCTAGGAGAATATCCTATTTTTCATGTGTTATATACCTATTAGATGTGGGAGTGGGTACCGGGAGTGGTATTGACTGAATACCCAAGGTATTACTTTAAAAAAAAAAAACTTTTACTATAATACGAAAACATCCCTTTTTAGAATGGAATCAGTAATAAAGGAAACATCAATGAGATTAGTAAACAAAATGAGTTCCATCTATGCTGACAAATGCCGTGATTACCCACTTTCCTTCTGTTTCCACTTTCCTTCTCAGAGGGCGGGCCATTCAAAGCTAAAGTAGCCATTAATGCAATCACTCAGCCTTTTAATCTTTAGTGAGCAGCTTCTACACGGCAGGCACTTCTGGCCAGGTGCTGAGGATAAAGAATGCATGAGCTGAAATTATAACGCCTGCCCTTCAAAGTGGTTTAGGGGTAAATTATAACACCCAAAATTCGTGTACGGAAGTCCTAATCCCTGTACCTCAGAACATGCCTGAACTAGGAGACAGAGCTTGAAGAGTTACAATGAGGTTACCAACGTGGTCCCTAATCCAATGTGACGGATGTCCTTATAAGAAGAGATTAGGACAGCGACATACAGAGGGAAAGCCACGTGGAGGCACAGAGAAGACAACCATCTACAAGCCAAGGAGAGGTCTCTGAAGAAGCCTCCCATGGCAGCACCTTGACCTTGGACTTCCAGACTGTGAGAAGGTTAACTCGTGTTGTTTAAGCCACCCCGTCTGTGGTGCTTCGTTACGGCAGCCGCAGCAAAGTAATGCAAAGGTTCACATCCCATCAGAGGAGAAGGACATAGAACTATAGGAATCAGCTAGGAAAAGCAGCTAAATGAAGAGCTATGTACAAAGTGCAAAACAGGACACTCTCCAGCATGCACTGGCTGCCTCAGATGTTGTGTGTGAGGACCTCTGCTAGGTGAAAGACTATCCTAACAGAGCACAGCTACCATGGCCAAGGCACCATTAGACCCTAACTCCTGCTACAACCCTCCCGTGCTCTTCCCTCGCATCCTCATGTACACCTTGTGGTCATTTTGAGTGCGACCATCTTACAGATGAAGAAAGTCCGTTTTAAGAAGACAACGAACGTGTCCAAAATCACCCACTTAACAACTGAAGGAGCCAGAACGCCAAGCCAGGTCTCCTCCACACCACATTCTCTATCAGCCTCTCACACAACACCTGCAGGGGCCCTGAGCAAAGCAGATCATGGGGCGGAAGTTTCAGCAGAGTCGTCTCTCAGTGCACTGCACAGTGCAGTGACCTCTGCACAGCAGGCTAGAGGGGGTGGCAGTGACGGCCTGAAGTCTGCAAACATTCCAGCTGTGAACACCCTGCCAAGGCGTCTCTAAGTGACAGCAAAACCACAGTGATGCTTCTGATCAGATAAGAGCAGCAACACAGATAGACATCCGTTATCAGTGGTCATGAGTTCAATGCTTCCTTATTTTTGGCTGATCTCGGGGCAGCTCATCCGGGTTCCACCGGTTCCATCTTCCTGACTCACACCCTACATTAGGGGTGTCGAACTCGATCAGAGAAGGGGCCAAAATCTAAAATCCAGCCTAAATCGTGGGCCGAATGGTTTACTGAACAGTCATAAACTGTCATTGTGATGGAAACGCAGCGGAGTGCAGTGATGACAGCGCGGTGCGGGCCACATTGCAAGGCCTGGCGGGACGGATTTGGCCCGCGGGCCTTGTGTTTGACACATGTGCTCTACATACAGACGCCTGCAGGAGGACAGGAAGCATGCGCGGGCACGGCCACTGCTACCCCCAACCCTACGAGGCCTGGGGACCGTGAAGGAGCCAGCACAGGCCAGGGGTCACTGCAGAAAAAACGGGAGGGGAGACCAAGCAGAGAAATGGGGGACACGGTTACCTGTTTCTTCGTCTATCTTGAACACCCCGACGCCAGAACCGTCTCTGATGGAATAGCGGACCTCCCCGTCTCTCCCCGCGTCCTCATCCCGGGCGGACACCTTCATCACGGACGAGCCCGCGGGGACGTCCTCCCTCACCGCCCCCTTCTCCGCGAAGCTGGGGAACACGGGCGGGTGCAGGTTCTCGTTCACGTCGACCACCTCCACCTCCACGTAGCACGTGGACGACAGGGACACCGGCTTCCCTCGGTCCTTGGCCCTCACGGTGAGGTTGTACGCCTGCCTCTTCTCAAAGTCCAGCTGCTGCACGATCCTCACCGCCCCGCTGAGCTTGTCCACGTCGAAGTGGCCTTCCCCGGGGTCCAGGAGGCTGTACCTCACCTGGCTGGACGGGCCGAGGTCGGGGTCGTAGGCCTCCAGCCACATGACGACGGTGCCCTCGGGGAGGTCCTCGCGCACCTTCACGTGGTAGTTGGGCGGGATGAACCTGGGGGGGTTGTCGTTGACATCCTCCACGGAGACCTTGAGAAGCACCGTGGAGGACAGCCGGGGCTCCTCCGTGGCCTGGTCCCTGGCCTCGATCTTCAGGTAATGCACCGGCTGGGCCTCGGTGTCCAGGGCCCGCACCACCTTCACCACCCCCGTCGCGCTGTCGATGGAGAACTGATCGGTGTCGGTGAGGATGGAGTAGGCCACGTGTCCGTTTGGCCCCAGATCTTGATCGACGGCCTCCACCTGGATGATCTCGCTCCCCAGCTCCTTGTCCTCGCTCACCTCCACGAAATAGCTCTCCTGCAGAAACTCGGGGGCGTTGTCGTTGGCATCCAGAACGCTGACATCCAGCAGACGCCACGCCGCCTTCTGCGGCAGGCCGAGGTCGGACGCGGTGACGTTCAGGGTGTACTTGTCTGCGGTCTCCCGGTCCAGGGGAGATAAAACCCTGAGCATCCCCGTGTCCATGTCGATGGCGAAGCAGCTGTCCTCGTTCCCCCCGGAAATGGCGTACACCAGCTTCCCGTTGAAGCCGGTGTCCAGGTCGGTGGCGTTCAGGAGGAGGACTCCGGCGCCCACGGGAAGGTCCTCCTTGGCCTCGATGCCCGCGGGGAGGCCGCTGCCGAACTGCGGTGCGTGCGCGTTGACAGAGTGGGAGTCGAAGAAGACCTCCTCGGCCTCCCCCTGGCCGTGCAGCCTGTTGGCCTGGAGCAGCTTCTCGGCCAGCATCTTGGCCACCCCGGTCTCCTGGCACTGCAGGTGCGCCGGCTTGCGGCTGGCCGCCACCGTGAGGTTGATGTACAGCGGCGTGGCGACGTGCTCCCCATCCGTGGCTGTGATTCTCAGGCTGTGGAAGGACACCTTGGCCCCCAGACCTTCCGTCAGCGACTGCTTTAAGGACAGCACCCCGGAGCTGGGGTTCAGGCTGAACAGACCAAGCTCGTTGCCGGCTTCGATCTGGTAGCGGACCAGCTGGAGCTCGTCGGCGTCGATGGCGGACACGGTGGTGATCTGCTCGCCCACCTCCAGGTCCCGGGGGACGGTGCCCTCGCAGTTGATCTTCTCAAACAAGGGGGTGTTGTCATTCAGGTTGTTGAGGGTCAGGGTGGCCAGGACCTCCACCTCCCGGCGGTAGGGCACGCCCCAGTCCGACGCCCGCACCCTCAGGGTGTACACCCGGGGCATCAGCTCGTAGTCCAGGCTTTCGGAGGTGCTCACGGCCCCGGTGAAGTGGTCGATGGCAAACGGCACGGGGTTCAGGTTGGCAATGCTGTACGTCACGTACCCGTTCTCGCCCTCGTCGGGGTCCACGGCACTCACCCGCAGGACCGTGGTGCCCACGGGGACGTTCTCGTCGAAGGACGCTTTGTAGGATGTCCGGGTGAACTCCGGGGGGTTGCTGTTGGCCCCTAAGACTTTGACCAGGACCCTGGTGGAGGCTTTCCGGTCGCTGGTGGTCACTTCCAGTTCAAAGTGGGACGCCTGCTGCCTCTTCACCGGTTCCAGGATGGAAATGAGGCCCGTGGTGGGGTTCAGACTGAACTTGGCTTTGGCGGGCGCGCTTTTGAAGACGTACCTCAGGTGGGGATACCGAGGCGTGGCCTTGACCATGACCACGGGGGTGTTGGCGGGCGCCAGCTCACTGATCTCCGCCCGGTACACATCCTTCTCGAACCGGACGGGCCCGGCGCGGAACCGGGGAGAAGCCACGCGGATGACGGTCGCGGCGGAGAGGCGGGGAGGCGAGCCTTTGTCTTTGGCCTGGAGCGTCAGGTTGTAGCCGAAGGGATGGCCGTCCCAGTCGATGTCGCCGCCGCCACCGCTGGTGCCTTTGACTCTGTACTCTTTACTCCCCGGAGAGACCCTCACCGTCCTGAACCGCTGGTGGGCGTCGCCGGCCACGATGCTCAGGGACGCTATCTCGCCGTTGGCGCCCCGATCGCAGTCCTCCACGGTCACGACCGCGTAGGTGGGGTCCCCGTCGGACTCGGACGGCGTCAAGGTCACGGCGGTGACCGCGGGCGCGCACTCGTTGGCCTGCTCCACGTGCACGGCCAGCCGGGCCAGGCTGCTGACGCCGCTGCTGCCGTACAGCTTCATGCCGCGGTCCGCCGCCAGGATCTCCACCTCGTGGAGCGGGCTCTCGGCGTGGTCCAGCCTCCCGGTGAGCACCACCACCCCGCTGGTCGGGTGGATGGCGAACATGTCCGTCCGCTCCTTGAAGCTGTAGTAGAACTCCCCGTTGGTGCCGATGTCCGCGTCCGTGGCGCTGACCCTGGCGATGCTGGCCCTCAGGGCCGTGTTCTCGGGCAGGGAGACGCTGTAGGAGGTGGGCGAGAACAGCGGGCGCAGGTCGTTGGTGTCCAGCACCTGCACCCGGACCGCCGCCCGCGCCTCGGCGTTGGTGTTCTTCTCGACGGCTTTGACCACCAGGGCGTAGTGGTCCCTCACCTCCCTGTTGAGGATCGCGGTGTTCCCGCCTTTGGTCCTGATCCTCAGGAAGCAGAAGTCGCCGAGGACGTACTCCTCCGCCTTGAACAGGTTTTCGTTGTCCCCCGCGACGATTTTGTACCGTACGTCCCAGGACGGGCTGGCGAGGTAAATGCCCATCTTCACGGGATGCCCGACGTAGGTCTTGGCGGCGGAGTTCTCGTGCACGGTGACGTGGTAGTGGGGCTGGGTGAACTGCAGCGGGGCTGCGGCCGGCGCGGGGCTCCCGTCCCCGTGTCCGAAGTGCTGGAGGAGCAGCAGCAGCAGCAGGAGCGCCGCCAGGTGCCTCCCCATCGCTCCGCTCGCTCGCAGGGGCCTGGCGGGAGGGAGAGATCAGAACCGTTACTTCGGGGAAATCAAACCACAGGATGTAAGCTGTTTTTCTTACCCTTTGCTTTAGACCCCAGATTTTTAATAAAGCGTTTTCCATCTTTGTGGAATATGAATGAATGCAGTGGCTGAAGATTTTTTTTTTCCTGTTTTACCATATAGGTATATCAACCCTTACATGTCTAGAGATACTAAGTTTAAGGATACACTTTTTTTCATATTTTAATGACTCAAGTTAAAAAATCCTAGTAAGTGCCTGGCTGCTGTGGCTCAATGGTTGATATGAACCAGGAGGTCACAGTTCGATTCCTGGTCAGGGCACAGGCCTAGGTTGTGGGCTCAAACCCCAGTAGGCAGCCAATCAATGATTCTCTCTCATTGTCGATGCTTCTATCATTCTCTCCTTCTGCCTTCCTCTCTTAAATTAATTTAAAAAAACAAATAAAAGAATACTAATGTGCATCAGATGAAAGATTGGCAACTATACAAACTAACGTGTATTCTTATACTTAAATCTTCAAGGCAAATACCGAATAAGCAATTGTTAAAAAGAAGGATAAGTACATTGTTTCGATTTATTTACATACAACAATGCTCAAAGGCTCACCAACTTCATGCTACTACATTCTCCTAAGCATGGGAAGCTTCGGACAACTAAATGTAAAACAACAAAACATTCAACGGTGGCTGTATATCACCTCTCATAATGACAGCGTGCAGTCTCATTTCCCAGAATTTATCCTGAAACTATTTCTTTACGCGATTACAAGTTCACTCCCTACATAATGGGAGGGTTTACTGTCTCAGTGCTCAACAACAACTTATGTGTATTAAAATAATTATATCACTCAAGTGTCACACTGAGGACATCTCTGAACCACCACAAGCCAAAAAAAAAAGGAAAAAAAAAAAAAAGTCAGTTTACAAAAGGAAAACCCGCTGTTTGGTGATGAACAGAACTTTGCCTCTCCCAGTCCACCAAGCACATCTGACCAACGTCTTCTCACTTCCACTGTCAACAACCAGTACTGTCCTGAGGGCACTGAACAGCCTGTCACCAGGACACAACACACACACACACACACACACACACACACACACAGAGCCAAATCGCTAAGCTAATGCCCAATCAATGCAACGAGGAGGTAGGCACTGCAGGTCAGAGGGAGACGGCTGGAAGGGCGGAACTCCACGGCTGAGGTCTGGCAGGGGAGCAGAACAATTACTTCTCCACCATCTGTTCGCCTAAATGCCAGCAAACTCACCTTGTACCTCAGTGCAGCTTCACAAAACATGCCAGCACTGAGGCGAGGACAGGGCTGGACCCTTGGCAGAGTGGCCAGTCACGGAGTGTGAACACTACCGGAGGTGGAAGGGACAGCAGCCTGGAGGGCTGCTTTAACGGCCACATGGAAATGGCAGCATTCACTTACAGTATCTCAGCTCAGCTGGCTACTGCCAGCTTTGCCCCATTGCCCATTTCATCAGGGGGAAAAAGGAAAAGGCCAGATATGCTGAAAGCAATTAGAAGCGTAATTGATACTGAATCAGGTTCAAGTTGGGCACCCTAACCTGTTCTTCAGATATCATCATACCCTCAGCTCGGCAAGGGAAGGAGGGAAATTAGATTCCTGGCCTCTGAAAGAGAAATTCTCATTTAAACAAAATAACAAAGCCATCTCCTCCCAGAACTATTTATTCTTAATTTAGTCATCATGTCTACAACCCAGTGAAACTTTAATATTTTGTAATGATCCAGTAATTTTATCAAAACAAGTGAAAACTTAATTCCATCCCGCCCCCAGGTACTGCCAGCCTGCTATGGAACAGATCGTGCAGATTCCCATCCTGAGGTATTTACAAATGAGGAGGAAATAAACATATACACAAAATGCTTTAAAGAACACTCAGAGAGATGATGTTAAATAAGCATTTCTTTGTTTTAGGAAATACATAATTACTGTTACCCACTTTACAACAGAATATTATACCAGGATTCTATTGTAAGCAACTGAAAAATTTTTGCTTAATTCTATCTATAAAATATTATGCATTAAAAGGAGTAAGAACGCACTCCACTAGTATATGTCGATATGTAAAGATGTCCAGATATATTAACTGGAAAATCTAAACTGATCCCATGTATGTTTGGGGAAAAAAAAAAAAAATGGGCCAGAGATAAATTGTGTGCAGAGTACATGAATGTGCTTAAAACTGAACTGAAACATTCGGGGCACAAATTAAAAAATAAATTGTTAACTGTGGTAACTTCTGGAGACTCGGCGGCTGGAGAAATGTTCACATTTTCACTTTCCTATCCGAATTTTTTGGCATAAGTATATGTTTTCTTTTTCATTCACTCCCTTCATCAATTATTTGATTCAATCAACAAATATTTAACCAGTTAACTGCCACGATATTTTAAATTTAATTTAAAAAGGTCCAATGCTTATGGCAGTTAACTGGTTAAATGAGCATCTACTACGTGCTAGGAACGGTTGTAGGTGCTGGGGTTATAAAAGTGAACCGAACAACCTACCAATAAACCCCCATGGTGATACATTTCCTTGGAGACAAACGAGAAAACCATGCATATCGCATATCGGATGCTGGCTATTAAGTGCTAAGGAGAAAAATAAATAAAGCAGGGCAAGAGACACTGGTCAGTAACCTGAAGGAAAGAGAGAACCCTAAATTCAGAAGATCCAGGGTTTCTCGGCCTCAGCGCTATGGACATTTTGGATTTTGGGAGGTGAGTAAGGTTTAGAGGGCTGCCCCATGCATTATAGGATGTTAGTATTATTCCTGGTCTCCACCCATGACCAGCCTGTAGCATCTCTTCCCCACCGACTAAAAGTGTCTTCAGATATATACTGGGCTCAAAACATGCTTCAGTAGAGAAGCCTAGTTAGAGAAACAGCAGAGACTCTTGTGGCTAGAGCACATGGGGGAGGGGAGGACAGGAAGTGAACCATTTTTTATATAATCCATCAATTTTAGCAAAGTTTCAGATTTACAGAGAAGTTAGGAAGGCCAGTTTCCCCTATGGGTAACATCTCACGTTATTATGGTACCTTTGCCACAACCAATGAGCGAATGTGATGCACTGTTATCAACTATTTAAATCCCAAGGCCCTCTTTCAGTCCCGAGATCCCAGCCCAAGCCCACCACACTACACTGGGTCACCATATCTCCAACGCCTCTGGACTCAGTTTCTCAGATTTCCTTTTTTTTTTTTTTTAAATATATTTTATTGATTTTTTACAGAGGAAGGGAGAGAGATAGAGTTAGAAACATGGATGAGAGAGAGTCATCGACCAGCTGCCTCTTGCACACCCCCTACTGGGGATGTGCCAGCAACCAAGGTACATGCCCTTGACTGGAATCAAACTCGGGACCTTTCAGTCCCCAAGCCGACGCTCTATCCATTGAGCCAAACCGGTTTCGGCAGATTTCCCTTATTTTTAATGACCTGGACAGTTTTGAGAAGTACGGGTCATATATTCTGTAGAATGTCCCTCAGGTGGAATTTGCCTGATGTTCTTCCCATGAGTAACTGGGGCTGTGTGTCTGGGGGAGGGGGTGAAGTGTCATATTAATCACATCCCATCACCATAACTTCTCCACATTGATGCTGATCTTGCTCAGTTACTTAAGTAGTGCTTGTCAGGTTTCTCCGTGATGAAGTTACTCTTATGTTCAGCTAAAACTTAAGGGAAGAGAGGTATGCTTCATCAATTATTTAGAACTAGAGGCCTGGGCATGAAAATTCATGCACTGGCAGTGGGGGGGGGGGGGGTGTCCCTCTGCCTGGCCTGCCCCCTCTCACAGTCCAGGAGCCCTCAACACCTCTGCTGCTGCCACTGCCGGCAGCACAAGCCTCAGTCAGCCCTGGTTACCTAAGCCTCGGGAGGCCCTGGGTGGCTGGGCAGCTGCCATCTGAGGTTTGCCTGCACCTTGGGCCAGCCCTGGGAGGTTGAGGGTTAAGGGGACTGGGTACCACCATCTTTGAAGACGTGGCAATTAGCATATTCCCTCCTTATTGGCTGTGGGTGCCTCCATCTTTGCGATGGTGTGAGGGTCAATTAGCATATTCCCTCTTTTATTAGATAGGCTTCTTCTCCTGGGGAGATTTGCCTAGTCTCTCTCACTTGTGTGTTTACTCAATCATTCCTTCAGATCAGGAGGAAAGGTGACTTTTAGGACTTTGAACTTTACTTGAGGATTTTTGAACAGGGAGTGACATGCCCTACCTAAAGTGAAAAGGGTGGCTCTGGTGCCTGTGTTGGGAACAGAATGCAGGGTGGCCAGGGCAAAGCTGGAGGGAGGCCAGTTCGAGGTGAGCGGCCACAGTGGCTTAGCCCAAACGTGGTGACGGTGGAGGCAGATGGGGAGAAGTGGTCAAACTGTGGATCTATTTCATAATTTGCTGAAGAACTGGAGGCAGAGGGGAGGGGAGGGGAGAAAGAGAGAAAGAAATATCGGAGAAGATTCCAAGTGTGGTGTGCTGAGTAAGAAAACTGTCAGGTACTAAAAGAGGGAGGAAGAATAAGTTGAAGGGAGTAAGATGAAGATGAGGAGTTCCGCTTTGGACGAGTCAAGGTGGAAATGCCTGCTGTAAATATTAAACGGGCGGTTAGCTGTGTGGCAGGGGCCAGCCTGGAGACATCAATGTGAGAATGGTCAGAATATAGAAGATGGTATCGAAAACCCCAAGACCGAGATCACCAATGGACAGCCACCCAGATAGAGAAGAAAGCAATCCCCGTTGCTCCCCAAGATTTAGAAGACAGCAAAGGAGAAGAACCAGCGAAGGAGACAGCAGCTGAGGAAGGAGAAGCAAGAAATGGGGGTGGGATGGAGACATAAGGAGATCAGTCTTCCTGAACATCTGAAGCCTGACCTTAGAACCTGGATATGAAGGACCCATACAGTTCATGCCCTGCTGCTATTCCCCCACCACCACCACCACCACTGAGAGGTCC